TAGCCCAGGACAGGCCTTGCCAGCCAAGGCAGAAGTACCTGTACTGCCCCGGCTGCCACAGCAAACCTGGGGCTGAGAGCACCCTGGTGTCCTGCCTGGTACCTTCACATGGTGGTTAACTGTACCACTGTCCATCAGCTTTCTCTCTAATACCCATCTGAAGTTGTAACTCACTGGCTGATCAGAGCTACCCAAGAGGGATTGTGAGATAATCTGCATAATAATATTGGGGAATTAGTCAACTCCTGAAGAATATCTGCGCAGCTGGCTATAGGCCATGAGTGAATATGAATTAAATATGTAATGTAATTAATATCTTTCAAATAAATGTCAGGGGTAGAGCTCTGAACACCTGCCTGTTGAGTTTCTTCCCCTGTGCATCACCTCTTTCCTTTTGGGAAAATATGCTGGAGTCCTTCCCCAGGTGCCCTCTGCGTCTTCCCCTCCCAGCAGGATAAGGCTGGACTTCTTCCTTAAACGCTGGTTATTTGTGTGCTTGGTTCAGAGGAGGAATCCTGCAAGGGGAGCTGCAACTGCTTCTGTGGGGCAATAACATCTCTCTGAGCTCCTTCCTTTGCACTGTGGTTGTGCAGATACACCACAGAGACAGTTGAGAGGGAGGTGGGTTGGTTTTGCACAGCTTTCTCAGGGAGCAGCTCAAGCACAAAGCCTGGGGGGGTGCAGCTCAGTGGGTCGCAGCCAGTTAGTATCAAACCTGGAGCTCGGTTCCCCTCGCTCACTGCAACGTATGGAAAGTCATGAATGATGGCAAAGAGGCTGGTGCTCCCAGCCTCTGCTCTGCTCCCTGCCTCCCAACAGTCTGCACCCTCAGAAAGTCCTGCATTGCTTTCATGTGGCTAACATGGAAAAGGTCCGCTTGGCAACCACGGAGGCTCACAGGCTGCTGTCTCCTCTCTATATTTAGTTTTAGACAAGTTCTGGAGGAGGGGAAGGCTCTCTCTTGAGGCAGCATCCTGTTGCCAGCAGTGCACTGCGGCTGAATCGCCATCACTGTTGGCTTTGGGTTGTGGTGAGGTGTGTGCAGACAGTGTACGTCTGAGTGGAGGCAAGGAGCAGTGTCATGCCCCTCATCTTGCCCCTTTCAATATCTGAAGGGTGCCTATAGAAGAGCTGGGGAGGGACTCTTTGCCAGGAAGGGTAATGATAGGACAAGGGGAAACTGTTTTAAATTGGAAGAAAAAAGATTCAGATTAGATATCAGGAAGAAATTTTTTACTATGAGGGTGGTGAGACACTGGAACAGGTTGCCCAGGGAAGCTGTGGCTGCCCCATCCCTGGAAGTGTTCAAGGCCAGGCTGGATGTGGCCTCGAGCAACCTGGTCTGGTGGGAGGTGTCCCTGCCCATGGCAGGGGGGTTGGAACTCGATGATCTTTGAGGTCCCTTCCAACCCAAACCATTCTATGATTCTATGATCTTCCCATAGATAGGACATATCACACAGGGCAGACCTCGTGATGGGGCCCAAATCCCACAGTTCCTGTACTGGGATTCATCTCTAGCATCATGTCATCTTCCTCAAGTCATCCTCCATTTGCCTCTGCAGTCCTGGGTCTCTTGGAGAAGAAAGAATTCTCATCTCCCCTGGGAGAAGCAGTTAGGAATTGGCAAGGGGAGGAATCTGAGCCCAGGTTGTCCCTTAAGGTGGGTGCTGAGTGCATGTGTCAGCACCACGGGTCCCCTGGGTTGCCGTGCATCCAGGCTGATTACACCCCAGCATGGTACTTCGCAGTCACGCTTTGGTCTTGGACTTTCTGGGCATCTGCAGGCCTCCCCAGAGCCAAACTGATATCATTTCCAATTGTTAGTGGACTTTTCACACTTCAGATCAACATCAGTCACACATATGTGTATATGCATTTGGGAGAAGGGGGTTTAAGCAGGGGACGTGCGTCATTCATTTGGAGGGACGCTTCCTGAGGCTGAGAGTTTCTGTTCCCACTGCGTAGGGGAATTTGTAATCTCTCCGTGTTTCTGGTTTTTCTTCTTCCTTAACACAGGGTGTTTATTGACCAAGGGGGAAAACTGCCTGTCCTGCTGTAGGAGGTGTTCAGACTGGCATTAGGGAATGCCTCTCATGAACCATTCTTGTTTCTATCGCAAATGGTTGTGAGGGAAGGAAAAACCTTCTTCACTTACACCTTTGCTGAAGTTTGTTGCCCCGCTAAGGCAAGCTGAATGCAATCCTCGGGTTGGAGGAACATGCTGTGTCATCCAGTGTCCTTATGTCCTGCTGCACTCATGCAAGTAGAATGCGTGAGTAGTGCCCTGGCCTGCATCTTCTGCCTTCTGCAGGACCAAAGTGACGTGCGTGCCTCTTACCACAGCCTAGAGGTGACATCCCTGCCCGCCTGGGCAACACGATACACTGGACCTGAGCTCGGTCCTGAGAGCAGGGTGTCCCTATTGATCATTTTTCTCCATCACTTCTGATAGCTCCAAAGCACACCAGAGAAAAGGGAAGGGTCTGTGGCATCTGCCTGGATGCTGTTGCAAGGGGCATTTGCCACCCCAGAGCGTTAGATGGTAAATGCAGCCAGGATATGCTCCAGTCCTTGTCCTGGGCCCCAGTGAGAGGATGTGTTCACGTCTCCAGCCGCTGAGGGCTACTTTCTCCTTGGGTTTTTTTCACCATTGGATGCCTCAAGTTGTGGGGTATGGAACAGAAGGGTGATTTTCAGAGCTGATGGGGACTCTTATCTCCACTTTTCAGGATGAGGAGACCAGAGGTCAGTGTGCATAAGGCAAAAGGAAGATTGGCAGGAACTGTGGTGTCCTCAAATGATTTTATTATCCATCCACCTTCTGAGGTCCAAGGGGAGAGTGTGAATGCAATAGGTGTGCTGCTTTCACCGAGTAAAGGAGCCCTGCTCTCTCCCCTGGCCTGGGGAAAGCTGTTTGTGGTGCAGATCCATACGGAGCCTGTTGATCTCCAGGCTGGGAATCTGGGTGGCTGTACTGGAAGGTGGTTTGTTCTTAATTGCAAAGGTCCTGGGAAGTTTGGTGTCCTCGGCAGCTGTGGCCAAGGCTGAACCTTTCTGTGCTGCATCTCCTTGCTGCACAGGCAGCACGGAAAGGCAGCGATGTCCGGGAGGAGAGAACTGGGAGGGAAAAGTGGAGGAGAGGCACCGTGCACGCCCTGTTTTTGCGAAACCTATGGGATACAGCTGGATAAGCAACAGGGCTGACGCAGGCTGGAGAAGGATGTGGGGAGTGGGGAAAAACAAGAGGAAACGGAGAACGGGCTCTGGCTTTGTGTGGGCGCGTGCCGAAGGGAGAGTGACTGGCACTGACTTGCAGTGCTTTGTTCTGGGTGGCAGCAGTTTGCTGCAGGGCAGGGCTGCTGATGTGGCACGGGAAGCCCCACTTGCCAGCCGTGGGAGGCAGGATGAGAAGGTGGGATGCTCAGGGAGACCCCCCATCCCTGACGACCCCCCCATCCCTGACCCAAAACCTGAACTTGCACTCAGGGCCACAAGGACTGCTGTCGGGCAGCCCGAGCCGGTTTGCTCTGCAGCAATGCTGTGTGTGGAGCCTCTCTCTCTCTCTCCAGCCGGGCTGGGACTGACTCACAGCGCAGCGGTCACAGCCAAGTCAGGTCAGCCTGGCCTGGAGGGGAAGAGACGGTCTCTGGGGACAGGAATGCCGTCAAATCTTCCAGCTTCTCAGGCAAACAGCCTTGCCCTCTGCCTGCTGGGGTGACCTCCTCTGCCAGGCATGCCTTCCCCTCCCTGTTCCCTTCACCGCTGCTGTCTTCGGCTCTGCATCTCCGAGTTGCCAGCCAGGTATGGAGCAGATGGTTGAGCCAGCTGGGAGCATGGAAAGAGCTATGGGCAGGCTGGGGCAAGCAAAACCTCTCTTTGGATCTCTCAAACCTCAAGCAGAGGGCTTGACGGAGAATATTTGTGGTGACCGAGGCCAGGAGTGGCTCAGCTGGGCATCTGCAGCAAGCATGACTTGCAGGAGATGAAGCAGCTCAGTTTGGCAACAGGAGCACCCCCCTTCTCCCCAAGCAGTGGATGCCGTGGGGGTGACGTGCAGGGCTCCTGCAGGCAGCAGAGCCCTCCCCCACCGGTCTGACCTTGGCTCTCCCTGGCCAGGGCAGGCGTGCTGACTGCCAGTTGGTGATGCAGTTAACACCGCCGTGCTGCACAGCAGCCAAGGACTCGTATAACTAAGGAGAAGGGACTGCAGCAGGCTTTGGGATTTATCCTCCAAGCTGTGCTCTGATTTGTGTTGCAATGGTGGGGTCCAGCATGACCCTCGGCCATGCAGCCCGTGCCTGCTGCGGTGCCAGCAGAGTTGATGCCGGCCCCTGGCACCCAGCCCCACTCCACGTGGTGTGTGAGGTGCTGGTCCCTGTGCCAGCAGCACTCGTGGGGATCTTGCACTGGCAGTCAGAGCCACGTGGCTCTTCAGCCGCTGGTTCTGCAGTGCCCTTAGCCTCGCTGTGCCAAGAGGCACCAGGATATGCTCACAGCTGCTCCTCCCACACCTGGCAGTTGTGGCAGAGATCCCTGATAAAGTCCCAGGGCTCTCTTGTTGGTGTCTTTTCATCCTGGGCTTTGTTTAGGGTATGAAAACAACCTGGCTCTCCCTCCCTGCCTGTGCTGTGGTGGGGTTTCTGGGCTGGACCGGAGCTGGGGGAACCAAGGTACTGAGGCTGCTGCCCAGGGAGGAGGCTCACTCCTGGTGCCACGCACAGCTCTGCTCCCTGGGGAGCTGCTGGGCAGGCTAAGGCTGGCCACGGGGGCCGTTTGTGCCCAGAATAGGAGCTGTGGGCAGGCTGGCCATAGGGAAGCAGGAGAGGGAAGCAGGGAGCAAGCTTGGTGCTGCTTTCACACTGAAGGGCCCCACGATGATGCCTTTGGAGCGCTTTTCCCTCTGTGGCTTTGGGCTGTGCCTTTGAGGGGACCACAAACTCTTGGCTGGAGGTCCAGGAAGCAGTGCCCCATGCACCCAGAATGGCTGTTACCTGAAGACACCCTCCCTGTGCGGCTCAGACACCACTTGCTGATGACTTGCCTCTTTTGCTGTTCCTTTTCCAGTCCTCGGTATGCTCCAAGATCGTCCAGCTGCTGGGCCAGAATGAGGTGGACTACCGCCAGAAGCAGGTGGTGATCGTGAGCCAAGACAGCTTCTACAGGGTCCTCACCTCAGAGCAGAAATCCAAAGCACTCAAAGGCCAGTTCAATTTTGACCACCCAGGTGAATGGAGAACAGCATCGGGGCTCTGCCGTGCACTGGGGGGTGAGGGCTGGAGCAGGACCCCCAACTCCACCAGCAAAGCGCCTTGCATGGTCTCTGGCACTCAGTCTCTGCATGGGGCAGGAATGGGTGGCTTAGTTAAGCTCTTGTGGAGCTGGGTGCATCCCTGGCAGGGTGGCTGGGGGCCACCTGTGTCCCCTGTATTACGACCTCTGTCTTTCTTGGGAAAGAAACTGCCTCTGGTGTGGAGTATTTGGGATGAGAAAGGGCAGGTTGTGAACTCCTGGACCCTTAAGATGCTCCTCTTCTCCCTGCAAAAACATCCCCCAGTTTGAAACCCTTTCTGGTGCAGCTGGGTCGGGACCAGGGAGATGTGGCCTGGCACAGCCCCCTGGAGCCAGCAGCTCTGCCTCCCTCCTTCAAGGAGGGAACCATCTTGTGCAGCTGCTCTGCAAATCCCTCCACTAAAGGGGCCATGCCCTGTTGCCACAACAGGGCCTCTTTGAGCCATCCCTGAGCTTGGTGGGGAAATTCCAGAGCTGCTGTCCCTTCGTCCCCATGAGGACAATGGCTGGAGGCAGCAAGCACCGAGCGAACAGAGCCCTGTCTGTCCAGGGACTCAAGGCTGAAACACTGCTCCAGTCTCTCTGAGGGCTGGAGTCCTGGAGGAGATGCCTTCCCGAGCCCAGGCTGTCAGCGCCACCGTACAAGGGTGGTATTGATCTCTGTGGGCCAGATCCCAGGCTGGTGCAAAGCAGTGAAGATCTAGGGGCTGCAGGAGATCTAGGCCTTGCTATACCCATGGGGACATGCAGGGCTTTCCTCCCCAGCCTGTGCGTCTGTCTGTCTGTCCCCCGTGCGGGGTTGCCAGTGTCTCTGGTTAGCCCAAGCTCAGGGTCTGGTGGGTGGGAGAGGTCGTGAAGCCGCCTCGGGTAACGTTTCCTTTCTCCTCAGATGCCTTTGACAACGAGCTGATCGTGAAAACGCTCAAGGAGATCACGGAAGGGAAGACGGTCCAGATTCCTGTCTATGACTTTGTCTCCCACTCCAGGTCTAACAGCCGCTCCTGCCTTGCCGTTGCCTCTGCTAACGCCCCGCGGCACAGCGCGCTGCCCTGCCAGCCCCAACCGCCTGCCCCTCCGCTCCCACCCACTCCTTAGCACCTAACATGCCACCCGAAAGTCCCAACCCTAACTAAGTTACTCCAGACCCCTTGGTTAGAGGATCCAGGGCAGACACAGGCGCAGTGTGAGGGTCTCAGAAAGCTGCACAGCCATGCCGCGGCATCCGGCAACGTACAGGCATCAGTGGAGGGGGGTTATAGCCTCCCTTTTCTTCCCCCGTCCACACTTCTTCTCACCATAAACTTTGTTTGCCGCTTTAACAAGTATTCCAGGCTCAAACAGGCTCACTGGCAGGATAGGAAGACGACTGTTCTTTCTCCTGTAACTCTTCCCTTGCATGTGTTCAGCTTGTTTTTGCATGCCTGTGTGGTCACGGATGGTGTGACCCTGCTCCCTCTCCCACAAAAGCGGTGTAGTGTCAGGGGAGCACTGCCTGGTGCCCAGGGGAGCAGAGCTGGTCCTTGCAGGTTCCTGTGGATCAAGCTCCATGCGTAGGCTTTCTGGGCTTTACGGCTTGGCTTATAACACTTGCAAGCAGCAGCTGGCCGAGGTGGGGGGAGAAGGGCTAGTCTGCCTCCCGCTCTGCCGTTTGTCCTTCTAGGAAGCGTACGTATGCCTTGGATTCCCTTCACCACGGTGGGGTAGGTCTGCCCTCTCCTTGGTTGCCCCCCTGGTGCAGCAGTGATGTCCAGGGTTGGAGCAGTGCCTAGGAGCACCGCTGTTCCCCCCCCACCTCTCTTAGCTTGTTTCCCTCCAACAGCATATGTTGACTCTTCTTCCCTCTCCTAGGAAAGAGGAGACGGTGACCGTCTACCCTGCCGACGTGGTGCTCTTTGAAGGCATCCTGGCCTTCTACAGCCAGGAGGTGCGGGATCTCTTCCGCATGAAGCTCTTTGTGGACACGGACGCAGACACCCGGCTGTCCCGCAGAGGTGAGGACCGAACACGTTTTGTGCAGCGGGGGCAGAAATGTCACTTAACTGATCTGAGCAGCTGGTCACAGAAGCAGGTGACAAGTGACCGGAACTGGAATTGGCACAAAGCTGTGCTGCTGCTAGCAAAGTGCCAGGGAGCTTTTCCTCCCCAGTACAGAATGTCACTTAGGGCAACTTATGGCAGTGGAGAGACCTTGTGCCATGTCTCTTAGGATTCAGTGGGGGTTTTGCTGCCTTGTCTGGGATTCCTCCTTTGATGCATGCAGCAACGTGACCACTGAGTGTGCTGTGTCCTCACGTGCCCTTGTGGCACGAGTCCTGTGCCATCAGCTGAATGGCAGCTACTGCTGGTCAGCAGGTACCAGTATGGAAGAGTGCAACGGGTAAGGCAAAGCATCTCCACAGTTCAATCAGAAGGCAGTGCCTGATGGATCTGCTCAGGACCTGTCCTATGGGTGTGCTCCAAGGATGGCATTTGGGGTGTGGTTTTCCATCGCGGATGAGGTAGATACGGAGTTTGGTTTTACATCTTGGTTTGTGCAGGCAGAGCCAGTGTGCAGTGTGGAGCCTCTTTGTGATACTTGGCACTGGGGTGAGGGCTTTGGGGGCAAAGAGCCCTAGAAACCAGAATATCCCTCTCTAGTACTCCCCGTGTCCAGCTGGCTTGGTGGTGGGTTGCCAGCTGACATAGGAAGGATTCCAGCTTTGTGGGGTCTACATGGTTTGAGATGCAGTTCATTTCAAAGCAGCCTTTAGGAGTGGGGTCACTGATGTAGCACCTGAGTCTCTTGGGTGACTAAGAAAGCATGTGGGGACTCCTGGGGCAGAATTCAGTTCTGTTTGAGCTGTCCCTAGCTCTGACAGCCTCCACAGGGTGTCTGGGGACGCAGAGGATGACTTACAGTAGAAGTCCCGTCCACACCTCTATGCTGTGACAAGAGGAGCGTGTCTCAGGGCGTCAGCCTGGGACTGCTTGTGGGCATGGGACTGCTCCACTCTGCAGTGGAACTGGTCTTGCCCGCCCTCCTGCTGTCAGACAGATACACAGCCTCCTCTGCTGTTGGGATGTCATGGGTGTTGATTAAGATTACGCATCCCTCTTGACCCTGCCCACTGTTCTTGCATGACTCATCCAGGGAGGTGACAGCACAATCATTGCAGGGAGACGTATTAAGCAGGTTACAGATACGCATTTGCAAGATCCCGCAACGTGAGCCTTATCCCTTAAGCAGACTGTGCTTCACACCCAGCCACGGGGTAGCACACGTTTTTGGCAGTGCCCTGTATCATACTCTGGACCGTGGGGCTCAGTCACTTCCAAGCTGGTACGCTCAGGGCTTGAGAACTGGTTGAGATCCCATTGAGTGAGAACTGAGACCATCCAGCTGCCGACTACAATACGGAGCTAAACCCTGTTGTGCTACAGCTGTTGGATGGGGTCCTGAGCCACATGGGTCCAGGCCATTCTTGGGGTATTTCTCCCACCCACCATCAATCACTAAAGCCTTGCAAAGGGGCAGCTAGGCTGCTGGTTGAGGCACTCCTAGTCAGGAAACTCTGTGCCCTCCTGATGGAGCTGATCATTTGGCAGCCTCCTGGCCTGCTGTCAGCAGTTGGTAGGATCATTGCAGCAGCAAATATGTTTACTGTATGTCTCCCTGGCATTTCTGGGAAAGACGAGCCTGTGTGTGAGGTGCTGAAGGTATAATCGTGTGCCTGGAACGTAGCTGGAGGCATAGTATAGCAAAAGTTGGGATCTTGCATTGCGACATGGCTCTGAGTCATCTTGCTCTCCCAGAAGTCCCCAAGAGTTGCAGCAATGAGCTTTTCAGCTGGGCAGCAGCGGGAGATGAGCTTCCTGGAAATGTAGGCAACAGCTCAGTTAATCAATAGTGCGGGGGTTCAGTTCATGCAACTCCCCTGGTCCCCTTCTCGCCACCTCTCCTAAGACAAACGTTGCCACCAGAGCACAAGGGGCAAGGTCTGTGAGGTGCCTCAAACAGCCTGACCCGTGCAAAGCTGATTCTGGCTGAGGTCCCTCGCTGCCCTGTTCTCGACCAGCTTCTGTAAAACAAAGACCAAGTCAGGTGCCACGTGTATACTTCACGCCTGATTGGAGTGATGTCTACCTGCTGGCTCTGGATGGGTGCCAATCTGTCCTTGGGACATTTGCCTGCCCTGCAAGTAGAGAGGGTGACACCTCCAGATGGGGTGCCTGGTCTTAGCCTGGGTTGCTTTGGGGCCAGGTACAAGGTGCTGGGTGCTTGACTTGTGTTTGTGGGGGGGGCAAGTGCCCTGCTGTGGTCTGCCCTGGCAGCGGGCAGGAGTTTTGCCCTGTCAGGACCAGCCCCTGCATCCCGGGCACTCAGCCTGTGCAGCTTACAAGCCTCCTGCACGCCGTCCGAGGCCGGCTGTGCTGCAAATACACCCTCGCTCTGCTTCTTCCCCGCCCCAGAGCAGCCAACAAACAGGGTGTGGGACCCGGGAAACAAAAGTCTCTCTGTTTTATTTTCCTTGCCTGTTTTTCTGTATTGTTTGAGCTGGGGCTTGCTCCCGCTCTCTGGAGAAGGCAAGGAGCTGGCTAGAACAGCCTGGGCTGGGCTGTTCCTGGAGCAGGCGAGGAGCTTGGCACACACATCTTGCTGCCAGCCCTTTCTTACCCCCATCACCTCCCCTGCGCGGGGCTGTGAAAGGGCAGGCTGTGAAGCTGCTGGCCGAGGGCAAATAGAGCCACAGGGACGTTGCCAAACCCGCAGTGAGAGAACAGCACTGTCCTGGCCTTGCAAGCACATGGGTGATGGCTGCTGAGCAGGTCGTGCAGGCTGGCAGTGCCGTGCCTTGGCTCTGCTCGGCACATGGAGAAGGCTTGCTCCGAACCCGGTGCCAGGTGCTAACATGCTGGGGAGAAGCCAGCCAGCCCCTTGGGGAGAGCCAAGAGCCGTCTGCTGGGCCACGGGGCTGTCTTGGCTCTGACCCGTGGATAGAATTCCTGCTGAACTGGGGCACTTGTCCACACTGAAGTGGCTTCAGATCGGAGGTGGCAATGACCCAAATACCTCGTGCAAACAGAGTGTAAGGCCCAAACGACGGAACAAACAGGAGGCCAGCTTGCTCTCCTGCTTCTTGGCTTTCTCCTGAGCTTATCTCCAAGGACCCCTTCAGCCTCTAAGTTGTGGGAGCCTGCTTTGCCTTCCCATTCCACTCAGCTGGGGACAGCACAAGGAGCCTGGCAGAGCGAGGAAGGTGGGTGAGTTTTACTCTCCTCACCTCTGCAGACCTGAGTTAAATTGCACCTTAATGTCTATATGGGAGGACCCCTCTGCTTTTCTATTCTTTGGGCACCTCTGCACAGGGATGACTGGAAGAATGCCCCATCCTTAGGCCAAGGGCAGGGCAGAGTGACAGCAGGGATGCAAGGGCTGTCTGGGAACAGTCAGGACTAGGGTGGCAGTGGTTACAGCTGGAATGTGCTTGCAGAGCTGAGAAGGGAGAGAAGCCAAGAAAAGCCCTTGGGTCAGGTCAGGCAGCCCTTGGCTCCTGGGAAGGCTTGGAGGTGGGTTAAAAGCGTGTAGCTGGGCTGGGGTGTGCTTGGACATGTGGGCAGCAGTGTCCAGAGACCTTGAGCAAAATACCCAGGTGGCTGGCCAAAGGCTGTACTGAAGGGAAGGGGGACGGAGCAGTTCATGTCTCAGCTCCTAACTGTGCTTTATGTCTTCACCACAGTGCTTCGAGACATCAGTGAGCGAGGCAGAGACCTTGAGCAAATCTTATCTCAGTACATCACCTTCGTTAAGCCTGCCTTCGAGGAGTTCTGTTTGCCAGTAAGTAAAGGGGGGTGACATCCACGGGAATCTGCCAAAAATGCCTCATACCCTGCCCAGCTCCTCAGACAAGAGCACTTTGTGCCCCAGAGCTCAGGTCAGCCTGCCTTGCTTTGTTCCCTCTTTTCTATTCTTTGGGCACCTCTGCACAGGGATGACTGGAAGAATGCCCCATCCTTAGGCCAAGGGCAGGGCAGAGTGACAGCAGGGATGCAAGGGCTGTCTGGGAACAGTCAGGACTAGGGTGGCAGTGGTTACAGCTGGAATGTGCTTGCAGAGCTGAGAAGGGAGGGAAGCCAAGAAAAGCCCTTGGTCAGGTCAGGCAGCCCTTGGGAAGGCTTGGAGGTGGGTTAAAAGCATGTAGCTGGGCTGGGGTGTGCTTGGACATGTGGGCAGCAGTGTCCAGAGACCTTGAGCAAAATACCCAGGTGGCTGGCCAAAGGCTGTACTGAAGGGAAGGGGGACGGAGCAATTCATGTCTCAGCTCCTAACAGTGTTTTACATCTTCACCACAGTGCTTCGAGACATCAGTGAGCGAGGCAGAGACCTTGAGCAAATCTTATCTCAGTACATCACCTTCGTTAAGCCTGCCTTCGAGGAGTTCTGTTTGCCAGTAAGTAAAGGGGGGTGACATCCACGGGAATCTGCCAAAAATGCCTCATACCCTGCCCAGCTCCTCAGACAAGAGCACTTTGTGCCCCAGAGCTCAGGTCAGCCTGCCTTGCTTTGTTCCCTCCCTGCAGGCACTGGCAGAAAATGGGGGTGCCAGTGCTAGCCAGGGCAGGATGAGATGGGGACTATTTTTACAGCCACTGCCTTCCTGGTGAGATAACCCTCCCCTAAGGGAAGGTCGACGTGGCAAGAGAAACCCCTCCCTGCACAGGGTCTGACAAACCAACACCAGGAAGCCCAGCAGATGCCAGTCCAGGAGGGAAGATCCTTGGCTGCATCTAGGCAGGGGAGATCCCTGTCCCCAGGCAGTGCTTGCTGTGTCTGCCTCCTGTTTTGGGCTGTCCTGCCTTGTCCTTCTCACCCTGCAGTGCTGTTGGCTTCTTGCTGGCTGGATGCTTGGAAGAGCAGAGGAGCTCCTTCCTTCGCTCTGTGCTGCGGGATGTGGCCTTGCAGGTTGCGTTTCCTAACTGGTGAAAGGCCAGGATGTAGAACAGAGAGACCTCACTTGAGGCCAAGGTTGCAAGGTCTGCCTGGAGAAAGGAAGCTATTTTGGGAGCTGATAACCAAGGCATGGCTCCTTAGCAGACAGGGACTTTGCGTGCAGGAGACCACTGCAATCCTGCAGAACTTCCAGGTGAAAGAGCACATCTGCAGGACTAGCCATTGCACACCTCTCCTGGCTCTCATGGGGAGGAGCCTGTGCCTTGGTTCTCAAGGTTTTTCAAGCAGATGTGTTAGTTATATGAGGAATTTCTTCCTATTCCAGCATTGGAATAGGCTGCCCAGGGAACTGGTTGAGGCACCATCCCTGGAGGTGTTCAAAAGACGGGTTGACGTGGTCCTCAAGAATATGGTTTAGTTTTTTTTTGTATTGCTTATTTCTTATTTATTTTTTTGTCAGAGTTAGGTTAATGATTGGACTAGATGATCTGTAAGGTCCCTTCCACCCTAGACGATTCTATGATTGTATGATTCTATTCTGGAGCAACTGAGCCACCAGAGTCCTGCAACCTGGGAACTGCTGGCCAGCATCTCAGGAATATCTTTGTGCCTGTCTATGTGGCCAGCTCTGCCCTTTCCTGTAAAAGGGCCTGGTTCTTTCTGTGCTACAAGACCTTTTCCTTGCTCCTGGGCAGCACCCTTTTCTCTGTCTCACTCAGTTGTGGCTCGAGGGACCAAGGTGTCCACTGGACCACTGTAATCCTTGAAAGGCTTTTCCCAAGAGGCAGGTCCAGCTTGGTGGCTCCCCTCCTTGCAAGTCCCCATCAAAGTAAATCCACAGCTTTGCAAAGCAGCAGATCCTGCATCGGTCTCTTCTCTTGAAGAGTCTGTAGGAGGATGAAATGTGAAACAAGGGGGATAGAAAACAACTGCTTTGTCCCTACCCACCAGCTTTGCAGTGGTTTGCTCCCGCTTCCAGCCTGGTGGTGGGCTCAGCTGCAGAACAATTGTATGTGGATGTCAAGCAGACTCAGCACCCACTGTCACCATTACTTGACTCCTAAACCAGCTCTGGGCCAGGTGGTCCAGCACTGAAATGATTCAGTTGTCTTGGTGATTTTCGATATGGCTGGCTTCTTTACTGATGGTAGAGCTTGGCTGTCAGGAAGCTGATCAGCTGTAAAAGCTGACACAATGAGGTGAAGAAATTGAGACTGGCACCTGCAGGTGAAAATATGTCAGGGCTGGTGTCCCGAAGCAGACCTTTTTTGCAAGTGATGCTGGTAGAAAATTCTCCCCATATCCCAAGCAGATCACATGGCTGTGGCCTGGCATGCCAGCTCTTGCTCTTGTACCAAGTCTGGCTGGATTCAGTGGGGAGGTTCTTCCCAAAAGCATCAGCTACTGGAGTCTTGCAATCGTGAGGCACTTCATTTCAGATTTTGTTAGGGTGCCTCTTACTGTCTCTTAGAGGAATCATTATGAGCTCATGAAAATGGAGTCAAGGTGCAAAGCATGGCCTTTAAAACACAGAACAAGACAAATAAGAGCATCCAAAATGTATTATCAGTAACGACATACCTCCCAGTGGGTTTGGGTTTGGCAAGGGGAGGGGAAAGAGCTGCCCCTCCCTGACAATGCCCCAGCCTGGTGGGTCTCCACTTTCCCTGTAACACAGTGCTCTCTCTCTCCTCCCAGACCAAGAAGTATGCTGACGTGATCATTCCCAGAGGAGCAGATAATGAAGGTGAGTGGACCCAGACCCTGCTGTTACATCCTGTCAGCTGGCTTTGGGCTGCTGCTGTTGAAGCAGAGTTAGGTAGGAGGTAGCAGGATCTTGCCACGGAGGTGACTCAGGCCATTGCCACCCCAGAGTGCTGTTACCACACACACACACACACGTGCTGAGATGAGTCTCTCCCCTTTGCTGCTGCCTAGAGCATTAGTGACTGGGAGTTTGTGCTCCTCTGATCAAGCCTGGGAGCCCATCTATGTGCAGTGCCTCCAGGTAAACTCCTGGTTCATCCCACAAAGGGAAACATGCTTTTCTAAGGCCAGATGTGCGACTGGGACAGTCAGGTTTCCACCTGGCTGGAATCAGCCTGACCATACTGGCTTGAGTGCAGGTCCCAGTGGGGCAGAGGGTTGAAGTCCCAGTGGGGCAGAGGGTTGAAGTCCCAGTGGGGCAGCTCCTCCTTGCAGGGTTGCAGTTCCTCACCATGGGATAGGAGAATGGGAGACAACGGGGTCACGGGCTCTGCCTTGGCTCTAGTTTATTCGCGGTGATCCTAATGCAGTCTCTCCTCTCTGTCTCTCCCTCCCTTTTTGCTCGCAGTGGCCATAAACCTGATAGTGCAGCACATCCAGGACATTCTTAACGGAGGACTCAGCAAACGCCAGAGCAACGGCTACCTGAATGGCTACACTCCTCCCCGCCAGCGGCAGCCCTCAGAGTCCAGCAGCCGGCCCCACTGACCCCGGGGCGGCGGGCGCCAAGCTGGGGGCGGAGGGCGCTCGGGCCGTGCCACTGCCCCTCTGTACATACTGTCTGTTCATTCCCCCCCTTATCTATTTAAGAAACCAGACGGAGACGAATGCCTTTAATTTTGTATGTTGGAAATGCCGAATGAGAAGCAGCCGGCTGCTTGGGAGCCTGGACCCGCCCACAGCTCCTGGCCTTGCTCAATAACTTCTCCAGCACGGAACCGGCTATAAATCTCTATAAATATAGAATTGCTCTATTTTTGTGCAGAATAACGTAAAAATTACTTGCCATAAGGTATTTGCCAGGCTCAGTGTTGCTGGGAGGGGGCTGGGAAGGGGGTCCTGGGAAATGCTGGTGTCAGGATCCTCACCTCAAAGGCAATAAGGAAGGAAGAGCGTTCAACAACTGCTTTAGTATCACAGTGGTCTCCATCCTGGGGAAGGGGTGGGTTGTGGTGGAGGTGGCAGCTTGTTGTTGGCATGGATTTTGCAACTGGGCTGGGGTTACTTCCTCCTGCCATTGCTGGTCAGGTTTGAGCAGCCTGGTTTTGGTTGGCAGGCACTGCACGATGCCACTGGGAGTTGGGAGAATGATGATAACCTCCCCTGACTCTCTGCACCTCCAGGTCTCAGTCCCTCAACAGCCTCCCTTTCTCTGTCTGACATCCCTTCCCACCCCAGATGTGGGTCTGCTGTCACACCCTCCAGCAAGGACCTGGTAGGTGATGCTGGGTATGTGATCGTATAAACACGGCAGCTTGTGTCTTTAGCAGTCTCACTGCCTGCCTCAGATGAGGATGGTGCGTGGGTGCCTTCGGCCACGTGGCCGTGTGTGTAGTGGGACTCCTAGCTGAGCCCTAGGCTCAACCCTAAGCCTGGAGGTTGGCTTGCAGAAGGTCAGGGGTCTGTCTGTCAATCCTCACTCGGAAAAGCTTTATGCTTGGATGGGGGATTTTGGGTCTGTAAGATATGGTAAAGGGAGAGCCAGCCTATTCTGAAGGAAAGGGGCAGTAGATGATGAAAGGCAGCTGCTGAGCAGCCTGTCTGAGGCGGGGAGGGGGGATCAGCGTGTAGCAGCCCCTGGGCTGCCTTGCATCCCTGTATGGGGACACCCACAGGTCCCAGCTGGGTAGCATGAAACTGGACGCCCAGGCATCCTCTGCTCCCCCTTCTCAGAGCATGCTCTTGCCTGGCCTGTGTCCCTTTCATTGTGTCCCTGCAGTATGTTGTCCCCAGGGCTGCCCAGGGAGTGCCCTCCCTTGCCCAGGGTGACAATTAGTCTCTGGTAGTGCTGCAACAGTGGTGTCCCAGGAGAGCCTGACAGGGTTGTACTGCAGGTCTGGGGATGCCTGGAGAGCAAGGTGGGACAGCTGGGCTGGGGCAGGAGCTTGGTGGGAGCCAGGGAAGGGGATGTGGTGGGATGGCAGCCAGGAAAGATCCTTTGGCCCATGCTGCTGGGACTGACTTGCCCTGCTGAAAGCAAAGTTTCACAGGCATCCTACAAAGCCTGGAGCAGGGACCCTTAGCCTTGCTCACTCTGATGATTTTTCAGTCTTTACAGAGCATTGATTTTGCTCTGCATGGTTAAAAGCTTAAGAGCTTAGAGACTCAATGCTCCATCGCTCTCCAGCCCCATGTGAGCTGAGACAAGCTTTGATTTTTAACAGAGAGAACAAGAAAGGAAACACCTTCTGCAGTGATTGCTGCTGGGGCAAACTCATTCCCTCTTGATCTGTGATGGGGGTACATGGCAGCCCTTTATCACCCCCTCCCTGTCTGCAGACACTCCCCAAGGCATGTCAGCTTTGCTGTAATAAAGGGGCTGGCACTGGCTAACTCCAGGCACAGCCGTAGGTAAGAGGGACCAAAACCCTGCAGAACTGGTGAGGCTTCTCAGGGCTTAAGCAGCCAAGACAGCTCTCAAGATGAAGTACTGGCCTCTTCTCCCCTGTAAATAAAGACAGAACAACTGCATGCTGGTGTTCCTTGTCTCCTGTTTGGTGCTGCATGTCCCTGGCTGCGGTCCCAGGAAAGCTCCTGGCACAGACTGCTTTGGTGAAGGAGGTGCTGGATGCAGTGGCTCTGGCTTTTGCCTGGCCAACCAGCTCTGGGCAAGTCCCGGTGCACATGGCTTGGGGTGCTCTTGGGACAGCAGAAAGATGGACAAGTTCAGCCCTTCCCAGTAAGTCTCTTGAACAAATGACAGTCAAGTGAATGAAGACCTTACGGTAAAGGGAGAGCCAGCCTATTCTGAAGGAAAGGGGCAATAGATGATGAAAGGCAGCTGCTGAGCAGCCTGTCTGAGGCGGGGAGGGGGGATCAGCGTGTAGCAGCCCCTGGGCTGCCTTGCATCCCTGTATGGGGACACCCACAGGTCCCAGCTGGGTAGCATGAAACTGGACGCCCAGGCATCCTCTGCTCCCCTTTTTCAGAGCATGCTCTTGCCTGGCCTGTGTCCCTTTCATTGTGTCCCTGCAGTATGTTGTCCCCAGGGCTGCCCAGGGAGTGCCCTCCCTTGCCCAGGGTGACAATTAGTCTCTGGTAGTGCTGCAACAGTGGTGTCCCAGGAGAGCCTGACAGGGTTGTACTGCAGGTCTGGGGATGCCTGGAGAGCAAGGTGGGACAGCTGGGCTGGGGCAGGAGCTTGGTGGGAGCCAGGGAAGGGGATGTGGTGGGATGGCAGCCAGGAAAGATCCTTTGGCCCATGCTGCTGGGACTGACTTGCCCTGCTGAAAGCAAAGTTTCACAGGCATCCTACAAAGCCTGGAGCAGGGACCCTTAGCCTTGCTCACTCTGATGATTTTTCAGTCTTTACAGAGCATTGATTTTGCTCTGCATGGTTAAAAGCTTAAGAGCTTAGAGACTCAATGCTCCATCGCTCTCCAGCCCCATGTGAGCTGAGACAAGCTTTGATTTTTAACAGAGAGAACAAGAAAGGAAACACCTTCTGCAGTGATTGCTGCTGGGGCAAACTCATTCCCTCTTGATCTGTGATGGGGGTACATGGCAGCCCTTTATCCCCCCCTCCCTGTCTGCAGACACTCCCCAAGGCATGTCAGCTTTGCTGTAATAAAGGGGCTGGCACTGGCTAACTCCAGGCACAGCCGTAGGTAAGAGGGACCAAAACCCTGCAGAACTGGTGAGGCTTCTCAGGGCTTAAGCAGCCAAGACAGCTCTCAAGATGAAGTACTGGCCTCTTCTCCCCTGTAAATAAAGACAGAACAACTGCATGCTGGTGTTCCTTGTCTCCTGTTTGGTGCTGCATGTCCCTGGCTGCGGTCCCAGGAAAGCTCCTGGCACAGACTGCTTTGGTGAAGGAGGTGCTGGATGCAGTGGCTCTGGCTTTTGCCTGGCCAACCAGCTCTGGGCAAGTCCCGGTGCACATGGCTTGGGGTGCTCTTGGGACAGCAGAAAGATGGACAAGTTCAGCCCTTCCCAGTAAGTCTCTTGAACAAATGACAGTCAAGTGAATGAAGACCTTACAGGCAGGGTGGCATTGGTACTAGCAGGGTATCAGGCAAGGTTGAGACTGCTTTTTAGGAAAGAGGTGAATCACTTTGCTAACATCAAGTAATTTGCCCCATAGATTCATGAAGGGGAAGTCATGCTTAAACAATCTGATAACCCTCTATGATGAAGTGAGTGGCTTGGTAACTGAGGGAAGAGCAGTGCATGTTGTCTACCTTCTGTTAGGTTTTTGAGACAGTCTCCCGTAAAATCCTCATAGTGAAGCTGTTGATTTACAGGCTGGATGAGCAGACAGTGAGACAGGCTGAAAACTGGCTGAATGGCTGGGTCCAAGAGCGTGGTGATCAGTGGTATGAAATCTGGCTGAAGACCAGTAACTAATGGTGTAGCCCAGGGGTCAATACTAGGTTCAATTCTGTTCAATATCTTCATTAAAGGTCTGGATAAGGGGGCAGAGTGCATCCTCACTCAGCAAGTCCACTGATGACATAAAACTGGGAGGAGTAACTGATACACCAGAGGGACCTTGACAGGGTGGAGAAATGGGCTGACAGAAACCTTTTGACGTGCAACAAAGGGAATTGCAAAGTCCTGCACTTGGGGAAGAAAAATCTCATGCAGCAGTACGTGCTGGGGGACACCGATCTGGAAAGCAGCTTTGCAGAAAAGGCCTTGAGAGCCCTTGTTAACCAAGAGCCTTTGCAGGAAAGAGGGCTAATGGTATCCTGGGCTGCAGGATTAGGTGAAGTGTTGCCAGCACAGAGGGAGAAGATTCTTCCCCTCTGCTCAGGTGAGGCCACACCTGAGTACTGTGTCCAGTGCTGGGCTCACCAGTACAAGAGAGAGATGGAGCTACTGGTGAGAGTCCAGTGAAGGGTCATGAAGATGATGAAGGGACTGGAGCATCTCTTCTTTGAGGAAATGCTTTGAGAGCTGTGACTGTTCAGGCAGGAGAAGACAAGACTGAGGGGGAATTTTGTTAATAAATTCCAAAAGGGAGGGTGAAAAGAGGACAGAGCCAGTGACAGGACATGAAGCAATGAGCACAAACGGGAAACACTGGAGATTCCCTCCAAACATCAGGAAACACTTTTTTTTTTTTTTTTTTTCTCTGAGGTTAACTGAGCACTGGCACAGGTTGCCCACAGGTATTGTGCAGTCTCCATCCTTGGAGATACTTGAAAGCCATCTAGGCAAGTCCTGGGGAACTGGCTCTAGGCGGCCCTGCCTGAGACTCCAGAGGTGACTTCCAACCTCAGCCATTCTGTCAATTTTAAAGTATTTTCAGCATTAAGAAATACAAAAGTTGTCCTGCTGTCGGCCTCCTTAGTCACAAGCACAACCCGTCAGTGCCCACATGGGGGTCCTGGAAAGCCCTGGCAGATGGCACCGGTGGGCCACTGTGCTCCAAGTTCATCTGGGAGATGAGTTGCTGCCAGCTTTACCCCTTCTCCCGTGCCCCTGAGCTTGTATATGAGATGTGTCCCTGTCTTTCCTCAGGGGAATTCCAGCACCGCTGCCCTATGTAAGTTTCACCTCAGGCGAGGCTTGAGGCTTCCAACATGGCGGCAGGAGAGGGGCCGGGCGGGGCGTGGCGTGAGGGAGAGCGCGCTAGAGGGCGCGCCCAAACCGGCTGGAACCGGCTTTAAGAGACGCTGCCACCGGCCGGCGGCGGGAGGAACTGCCGCTCCTCAGGAGGGCACCCGGGCGGGCCGGGCCGGAGTCAGGAAACACTTTTTTTTTTTTTTTTTTTCTCTGAGGTTAACTGAGCACTGGCACAGGTTGCCCACAGGTATTGTGCAGTCTCCATCCTTGGAGATACTTGAAAGCCATCTAGGCAAGTCCTGGGGAACTGGCTCTAGGCGGCCCTGCCTGAGACTCCAGAGGTGACTTCCAACCTCAGCCATTCTGTCAATTTTAAAGTATTTTCAGCATTAAGAAATACAAAAGTTGTCCTGCTGTCGGCCTCCTTAGTCACAAGCACAACCCGTCAGTGCCCACATGGGGGTCCTGGAAAGCCCTGGCAGATGGCACCGGTGGGCCACTGTGCTCCAAGTTCATCTGGGAGATGAGTTGCTGCCAGCTTTACCCCTTCTCCCGTGCCCCTGAGCTTGTATATGAGATGTGTCCCTGTCTTTCCTCAGGGGAATTCCAGCACCGCTGCCCTATGTAAGTTTCACCTCAGGCGAGGCTTGAGGCTTCCAACATGGCGGCAGGAGAGGGGCCGGGCGGGGCGTGGCGTGAGGGAGAGCGCGCTAGAGGGCGCGCCCAAACCGGCTGGAACCGGCTTTAAGAGACGCTGCCACCGGCCGGCGGCGGGAGGAACTGCCGCTCCTCAGGAGGGCACCCGGGCGGGCCGGGCCGGAGAGGAGGTAAGTGGCGGGAGAGGGGGGGGGCTGTGTGTCTTTGGCTGCTCTCTGTGCTCAGATCTGCACAGCCGCTGGCCTGTGAGCAGAAGGATTCGTTTGCGGGAGCGGCTGCCCCTCCACAGAGTGAACTCATGCTGAGTGCCCTGAGGGTGGACTCTGGGAATGGGAGGTGAGGGCCATAGGTAGGGCCAAGACGTCCCCAGACGTCTGCATCAGAGAGTTGCCAAATGTCCATTGTCTGCTGTGCTGGGCAACCCACTGGGCTGTGACCACCCGTTGGCCACAGCCACCCTGCAGCAACATGATCATCGGGGCAGTAATGGCCTCCAGCCAACAGAATAGGTTGTAGTCACTGGAGGTGTCCTCACCCCAGTCCTGTGGGCTGAGGCACGTCCTGACACACCAGCTGGCTGTCACCCTGAAGAGAATCCGCTGTTAGCTGGATGGAAATGCTACAGCTGGAATTGTTATCCACCTGCTTCCTAACAGCTGCCCCTCTTCCTGGTGTGATGCCAGCCCTTCGCACCAGCCTTGGAGATCCTAAGGCCTAAGGAACCCAATGGGTCATGGGCAGGCACAGGCCGCTGCTACCTTACTGGGACATGGGGAGCAACCACCTCACTGGGCCATGGGCACACGTCAGGCACCTCAGTGGGATATTGGCAACTCCCAGGGAACCTCAGTGGGATGTGGGCACCCTGATGGGATGTGGGCTGCTCCTCTTGGAACATCGCACCAACAGGGCACCTCACAGCCATGGCCCAGCTGGGGTGGCAGCGAAGGTGTGTCAGAAACCTGCCTCTCTGTGCCAATGGGTAGCTGTGTCAGGCCCTGCCAACTGTGCCCCCTACTCCTAACTCCTAGTGTGCCATATTGTGGGGCAGGTGGCCACTAGATGTGGGCGAGCTTGTCATGTATACACTTTTCCTTTGAAGGGGTCCTGCGTACCTGGGAGCTTAGGTAGGATTTAGATGAGAGCTGCTGCTGCACCTTCACCGTTGGCTGCTTCCTCCGAGGTTTGAGTGAGTTTTGTGTGTGTACTTTGAGCTCAAGTTATGTTTAATTTGTTAGAACACCCTGATCTGCAGAGGGTCTCCAATACTAGTTTTATAAAAGGACCCAATCTGCAGAGGCTCC